TTGAATACTACTATTTCACTTGCATTATTAGACATCTTCTAATTGTATCTTCCACCTACGCTCTGGATATTGTAAATTTTCATCTTCTCTCTATTGTTTCAAAAATTCAGGAGCTTTCCAGATTAGGTTTGAAATTCCTAGACATGGAAGGCAAGATTGGTAGGTGGCGGATTTAACAAGTAAAGGAAACTACGTACAAGTCTTGTTGTGGGCACCCACAAGATGAGCTGATCTCTGCCCATGCCTGCCAAAATCTTAAAAGTTTATGTAGAGGCCTTAATGGGATTCAATCACATGTTCAGTCCAATGGTCTCAATAGCACCTTACTTTCTCAAGTTTATTCCTTTGAAACAACAGCCCTAGAGTGAGAATGGTGGGTAGAATGCACATTCCAAGGACTGGGGAGAGGATGAGGAGACTGATTGCCAGGGTCCAGTTCAAGGATCAACAGGAGGTCACAGTCTTTTGATGACCTCCTCTAACACTCTAAGATCTTGATCCATCATTCATTTTCTTTTGTCTAATGATTTTGATCTCATCTATTCACATGCCCAAATCTCTATAAAAAAATAATAATCCCACAAACTTCCCTGGAATCGGTACTTTCTATTTTGTGATCTCTTATTTTCCTTTTTGCTTGACTTCCAAACCTCCTGAAATATGATGGTAACAGTTTCATCACAACCTAAACTTCACTGATTATTTAAACTACCAGAAACATCCATGCTTATTCATTAAAAGCATTCTTGCCAAAAGTAAGTGGAATTATTTTTAGATAAGTGACCTGAGGACCACTTCCATCCCAACATGACAAGTGAATTACAGCATATAACAAATGCTGGCCACTACATGTTTTCATGTAACTGGGGGGGGGGGGTTGAGGGGCACAGCTCTGGCTGCATTAATCTCTACAAATCTAGTGCTATAGTCATGGAAATTTCAAAAGAGAAAGACCTATTAGTGAGTGTTTGTCTATGTGGTAATATCATGCTAAATCAAGAGAAGAAACCAAGGATACAAAAGCTAAGTAATATACTCAAAAGTACCCACAGAATAATTCTCAAAATTTGGATTCATACCCCTGACTCCCAAGTTTTGATCTTCTCACATCTTCATGCAATGAATCAAGACTCTCATCTTCACATGGAGAAAAACATTTTTTGCATATTATAATAATTTTCTAGTCAATAGAAGTGACAGGACTTACTAAGTACATGGTTCACTTCTGGTATAATCAATCATGCTTGTAGCTAGCATCCTACTTTGAGGATAAGTCCTACACCCTAATGTTTACTTCTTTGGTACTTGGAACTAAGTATGTATCATTCAGCTATCTGAACATGTAGATTTAGGACTTGATACATGAATCCTGTCTTTTTCTACTGCGTGTCTGTACACAAATTGGTACCTCACCTTCTCTCACCAGAATCTTCATACCTATACGCATGACATATACATATTTTAAGAATTTTATTGTTCAAATAGCACATCCCTTATATTCGAGATAATATAAATCCATTTATAGAATAGTGACTTACACAATGTTCACAGAGCAAGGGCTATATAAGAAAATCATAATCTCTTAGTGAAAAAAATAACTGAAGCATACTGAAGATTTAATTTATCCCTTAATACCATGAGCTATAGTATGATAAAGTGATACAAACCTGAATGAAGCTAAATTTATAAAAAAAAAAGTAAATATAGGGCTTGTTTCCAATAGTTTAACAAATGCTTATTAAATTAACTGATGATCAATAATTGAATAAATGAATTCTTAACACATTAACCAGGATCACACAGAAAGTATAACACTATGTGAAGTTCATCTGTTATTCAACTTTGCAGTAGTCATAATTGTCTCTTAGTCTTTTCTAAAAATGTTACTTCCTGCGTATTATTAGTCATCTTAGCATGTGATGCTTAAAAATATCTTTGAGTAACCACTATTGATATTCAGCACAGGTGGAATTATTCACATTCACAAATAAATACACACACACGTGCGTGCGCCCATACACACTTTCCTTTTCAAGTTTGGTAATGATATATAACCCTTTTAGCATAGTAATTCAGAAAAAAATTCAATTACCTTAAAGCCAGAAGTTAAAATGCTTTTAAAAGCCATAAGAGAGTAAATTGCTCAATTATCATGTATTAGTAAAGTGAAAGGAAAGTTCCCGGTAAAATCACAAATCTTCATTCCTTATTTATTTGATTTTTCTTGATATAAACTGAGCCAATTCATAAAAATAAAACAGTATTTGTTAAACAAGAAAGATAAAATTTCCACCTACAATTAAATATAAATATAAATGTAATATATATTACAAATATAAATATTTATATAAATATAAAAATCATGAATTGGTGCAAAATGCTATCTTTTAATGTGGTAACACTGACATGGTAATACAGGACATAAATACTTTTTAAAACAGCTTTTTTAAGAGACCAAGGAAATGATATCTTACCTTAAATGAGACATCTGTAATCACACTTTTCCTTTGGAAGTATGGAGACATTTGTAACAGTCTACTTAAGTCATTTTATTACACAATCCTTAGATTTGGTATTTTTACATGAAAACATGGCTCACTTCTGAAGAGAACCATCACTGTATGCATCTTCCTATCATAATTGTTAGGCAGATTTAATGATATGACATCTAAATGGCATAGGTGTGAAAACACAGTAATATTTCACATTTCATGTAAGAACAGTTTCAGCAGACTATTTGCAGTACTATTTTATCAGCAAGAGTGATTTGATGTTCATCACAAGGCATTCTAAGAGGTAAGAGTGACAGATATTCTTATTAACCACAAAATGATAAAAGATTGATTTCAATCAATATCACAGCCTATCACATGAAATATGTTCTGTGAAAATACCAGATGCAAAAGATGCTCTATCTAAGGAGATGAGTTTTTGTTCCATCCTTAAAAGATGCAGTCATACTGAGGTGTAAGTATGTCATGTGAAGCATTAGCAGGGATTTTTTTTTTCCCATAAGCTAAGCACTGTTTCTGCTGTGATAAGAACTTAATATGTATTATCCCACATGTAAAACAAATGACGCTTCCCTCCCATTATAATTCAGCTTTTTGTGGGAATTATCTAAAATAATCCCAATCTAAGAAGATCATTGGAAGTAATCAGGTCCAGTAGGAAAAAAAAACATTCTTGGCTTGAACCCCCCCCATCCCCCCCTCACCCCCACCCTCCACTTAAAATGGTACACAGCAGAAGTTAAGAATCCAGAAACTGGAGATTTGCTGAATACAACAGAAAAGAAAATGTGGTTTTTTTTTTTTTTTTTTTTTCTTTTTTATGGGAAGGTGCTAAACTATTCCAGGGTTAAACTGGGAAGTTAGCTTTTGAAGTGAGAGCTATTAATAAAGAAGAAAATATATTCTGGAATTGGATTTTCAAGTTAACGTGAAACCTCTTTTTGCTACAATAGTTTCTATAGCAGGTAGAGGAACCATCCCTAGATCACTGAACAAGGTAAAATGCAGGTTAAACTAGTTAAGTGGAAGCTTCTACTTTGTGTGTGGCTGAGCTCTTGAGCATTCCAAAACAATTCATCAATCAACTGCTTATGGCTTGGGAAGAGTAACCATACGCCTTTTAATTCGGAAGAGACCTTCTGCTGGAAATATTTATAAGAAAAACCTATTCAGTTAATTTCCTTCCTAGAACTAGTAATGAAGACCTATAAATTAAAGTGATTCTCAAATTGCTTAGGATAACTTAGTGAATAAATGACGCCACTGAATGAGGAGATTCAGTATTTTTGGAGAGCTGTGCATCTGGATTTTATAAATCTGAAAACCAATCAAGTACTCCGAAAAGACCAAGCAAACTGATACCTGCTTGGCAGGGTTGGATTTTCATGTTTTGGTCATGTATAGGGTAACTGAAAGCTGTAAACACATTTTCAGAACCTTCTCTTTTTATTTTTTCCCCCTCAGTATGTAAGCCAATTTTCTAGCTGAGCAGTTTGTGAATGAGTTTCAAAATACCTGATGAGAAACTGAGAATCATGATATGGTCACAGAATCATCCAAAAGTATGTCAGTTCTCACTCCAGAGAATAGAGATCTCGAAATATGTCTATAAGAGACAGCAAGCACTCTGAACTACAGAGGTTCTGAAGCCACTGTGATTTCCATGTAGAAAGAATGATGTTAAAAGGGAGAAAACATTAAAGGGAGAAAACATCCAAGAAAAATACTGAAGGTCTCTGAAAAAACGATTTGCTTGTGTGTCCTATACTGCACATACGTCTTACTTCTTCAGTGTACCACCGGATGATTAATACCTTTAAGATATTTTTTTAAATACATATTATATAACCCACAGCAGACATGGTAATCTGTATCTCTTCCACTTGTCTCAAATTAGTTTTGTGGTAGGAAACTCAGCTGTATAGGAGAGACTAGCTATTAAAGCCTTGAAATGCCTTTACAGTTCTCTTTAGTGAAGAATGAAGCTTTTAAATATACATACCTTAATAAATATCAGTGGAGAAGTATGTGGGGATGTTAATGTATTTTAACAAAAAATAGTGGAGATGGGTATTTACAGAAGCTTTTTGAAAATAAAGCATTATTCTGGCATAAAAATAGATCAATAAAGCCATTTATAAAATAACCAGTTGAACAGCTACCGTGCATAATTATGTTCATTTGAAAATTCAGCCATGCTAAGTAAGGTCCATTAGTGGTTAAAACATTTCTTTCCCTCCCCTTTTAGTTTAACCTTTCGCTCTTAAGACTAGAGACTTGTTTAGAACTTACTGAAGTTTCTCAAAGCAAAACCACGCACCAGCTCCTAATTCAGATGCCAGATCAGTGTGCCGCCTCGTTCAGCTGCGGACTACTCTAGGCAACTTTATTAATCATGTATGAATTTCTGTGCGTATATCCTGAAGCGATCACACAGGATGCAATCTCAATTAAAGGGGGGGTGGCGGCGGGGGGAGGAAATCTTACCTGATGGCAGAACCGGCAGCTGCAGAAGCAGAAACAGCAACTGCAGGATGCAACAACCCAGGCTTGCACCTAAGGGGAGACCCTTTTCTCTCTCCCCTCTCTCCTTTTCTCCCTCTCTCTCTCTCTTTCTTCTAAATCACTGTAGCAACAAACTGCCTTGCATTTTGTCCCCTTTCATTCACAGAAGATTCTCCAAGCCGGGGAGCCAGCAGACACCACTCTCTTCCTGGAAGAGGTCTGCCTCTCTTCTCAGAAACGCCTGGACCCCTCTCTGTGGCTCCTTCCACGTTTACCCTTCAGATCAATAATGCTCCCTGAGCGGCTGGAGCTCCACTGCAGCGCGAGCGGCCAGCCAATGGGGGCCCAGGGCTCCCTCCCAGGCTTCTCCCCGCCCTCAAAACAAAACACAGCGTGCCTTTGACACATCGCCGAGTTGTGAAAAGTAATTGAATCCTGTATTGGAAATGTATCTTGTTTGTTCTTTTTCCCCCCTAGCGTTCGTTGTATAGCGCTGTGAATGAACGGAAAGGCTCCGTAGCTCTCAGGACACTCATTGAGGGAGCTTCGTAGAGGGTGAAGCGTGGGCGCTGGGAAAGTGAGAGCACCTGGGTTGGTTTGCACCTGGAGCTTTGCTATTTAAAGGCTTGAGGCCTGTTGAAAATCAGAGAACTGGGGGGCAGAGGCTTGGATCCTGGTTCTCACGCCACTAAGTGGCTTGTTTCTTTTATCTTGAGGAACAGGAAAATAAAATCCATGTCAACTGGATGTTGTGTCTTTCTCTAAAAGTTGTCTGAACAAGAAGCAGCCGCCAGTTGGCGGGTAACCTTAGCCAAGAAATTTCTACTAACCCATTTACCTGTTTCTCTGCTGACTGAACATGGTCCAGATTCTATAAGGAACTAAAATGTGTTCAGGCTATATGGTAGTCTAGTTTCGTTAATTTTGCGTGTTTATATATTGTAAGGTTTTTGTAATTAACATTAATTTCTGTTAGGGCATCTATTAGTGATTACTTGCAACTGGAGAGAATATTACAATGATTTTTAAAACCTTATAACGGGGGCGCCTGGGTGGCTCAGTCAGTTAAGCTCAGGTCAGGATCCCAGAGTCCTGGGATAGAGTCCCACATGGGGCTCCCTGCACAGCAGAGAGCCTGCTTCTCCCTATCCCTCTGCTGCTTCCCCTGCTTGTTCTCCCTCTCTGTCAAATAAAATATTTTTTAAAATCTTATAATGAAAATAACACTATTGGAAACAATACTACTATCTCTTCCCAAATTCCAAAACCACATGCAAGCTTCACCTAAAGCATGGTGACCTTTCTTCACATTTCGGTTGATTCACAACCTCAGGAGTTCCTGTGGGTGAAATTCGTTACTGGCCCTATACACTGAGGGCAAGGAGAGACCAAAGAAAGAGTCAGCTGCTCCAGATTGATGGGTGGCAGTTTTAATAAGCAAGGGAACTGACATAGAAGGCTTGCCTTAGGTCACGGCCAGACTAGCAGATCTCGGCACCTGCTCTGTAGAATCTTAAAAGCTTACATGGAGGTCTTAACGCGGTTCAGTCATGTATGTAGTCCAGATGCTCTCAATAACACATTACTCTCTCAAGTCCTTGAAGTGGCTCCTAGTATGGGAACAGTGTACCTAATGTACATTCCTTCGACAGGGGAGGCAGTAAGGAGCCTCTGATTGCCTGGGTCAGACTTGCAGGTTAACTGGAGGTCATGTCCTCTTACTGACCTAGCCCAACAATTTCACTATTGAAGTACTGAGGACTGAAATTTGCTTAAACAAGTTCATGAGAATCATTTATTTTCTCTCCAAGAATCTAAGTCACTTCATCATTCTTACATCAAGAATGCAGCAATATTTGGGGTAATCATTTAGTTTAAGTATGTCAAAAATCTCAAGAGCACAGAATCTCCACAATTTTAAAAATATGTATAACTATGAGCAGGCTCAGTAGCTCAAACAACTGCACAAATAAGAATGTCTTTTCAATGTCACTGTTGAATAAGAATAAAATTAATGTGTCTTTCTGAAATCTTTTTGTTCCACTGAAGTAATACAAATGGGTTGATGCATTTAGTGGAGCCAAGCTTTGTGTGTCATGACAAGTTGAAATAGCTTGGGGAGACTTTACAAACAAAACAATTCTGTAACCTGTCCATCATGTGTAGGAGCCATGGAAAAGTGTAATATTTACAGCACTGGATACTGTGTTGCTATAAAAGGTGAAAGCTAACGTTATTGTAACTCACTCATGTAGCCAGTAAAATTTTTTTCAGGGCATTCTCTGGCTAACTGTAGTCACCTGGCTTTTGTGAAGAAAGGAATATGCTAACAAAATGATAATTATAAACATCTTTTTATTTCTTAATTTTATAATAACGTATTCATTTATCTGAATTCATTTGTGGATCACAAATAACAAGTCACTGAAATATAGAACATTGTCTTTGTTCTGTAGGTCAGTGGTTTTCGGTGTGTGATTTCCAGACCATTAGCAAAAGCTTCACCTGGAAACTTATTGAAAAGGCAAATTCTCAAGCCCTCCACCATTCCCATTGAATTGGAAACCCCAAAAGTGGCATCCAAAAATCTATGTTTGAGAGTCATTGCTTTAAGGAAGGTATTTGCAAAATACTGCAGCAGACCAGCACCTACTTTAGTAAATTAACTCTTACTGGAGCACAGTTTCACCCATTTTTTTCCATATTTTCTGACTACTTTTGCACCACAAAAGTTGCACCCTGTGGCAACTACTCAGCGACCTAAGACTTGAAGCTGAAAATGTTTACTGTGTCCCTTTAAGAGAACTCTGTTGACCCCTGCTGAGGGCATTGTAAGACAAGCTATATAATTAGTATTTGTGGCAAGAGTTGAGAAAGAAGTAACATTTGAAGATGGGATGGACAAGATCAGATTAATGAAATCAATGGGATTTGGAATAGATTGAAAGTGACGATTTGGTAACTTTTATTGTTATATGTTTTTTTTTTTTTTTTAAGATTTTATTTATTTATTTGACAGAGACAGAGATAGCGAGAGCAGGAACACAAGCAGCGGGAGTGGGAGAGGGAGAAGCAGGCCTCCCGCAGAGCAGGGAGCCCCATGTGGGACTCGATCCCAGGACTCTGGGATCATGACCTGAGCCAAAGGCAGACGCTTAACGACTGAGCCACCCAGGCGCCCATATTGTTATATGTTTTTTAATAGAATTTGCTGCTTCATCCTGGGGAGGGATATACTTCTCTTTTCTAGTCTTGTTTGTATGACTTGGTTCAAAATATGGATAGAAAGAACATTATTGTGTTCAAGCAGAATACTGATGAACAAAATATAAGTTTGTACCCTTTTCATACAGAAGCTTTTCCATCACCCTGGGCTGTTAAATGAAGAGGACATTGGAGTCTTAGCTATCCTAGGATGAATATGCAGTTCAAGAGGTTAATAAAGCTTTTATTTGTAAGCCACTGAGTCATATGTTACCACATATGTAAGCCATTTGTTACATATGTAAGCCATTTGTAAGGCCACTGAGTCATATGTTACCACATAGAAACCTAGTCTATCATGACTAAAATAAGTAAGTAAAATTTAAAGTAACTAGAGATAAACTACTGCTAAAGCAAAAGCAATGACTGGAACAAGGCATTTAACTAGAAACTCAAAAAATCATTTTTGTGGAAAGAACAATAAAACTAGTAGAGTTTCCTTAAGGAAAGAATGGCCTGAAAAGTAGGAAATATATATTAAAAAGAATTATGGCAGACAATTAAGGTTAAGGAGATAGAACTTAATTCTTTGGCAAAGGAGAGTCTTGGAGACTGTTTAGAAAAGGAATGACATCATCAAAATTGTGCAATAGGAAGATTACTCCATTGGCAAGAAAGAAACAGAAAGACAAAGGAAAATTCATCATAAGGATGTGAAAAATTAAAATACAATGTAATATGGGCCAGGGACCCAAGTATTGTCATCCTTACACCTATATTCAATGAGTTAACAAGTTCAGTCAACTTGACTTCCTAAACACGACTAAAATCATCATTTTATCTTTATCCACAACTGTAATTGTTTTCGTTCAGGCTTTTACCCTTCCTCCCTACATGTTTGTATTCATTTTTTAACGAGTATCTCTGTCTTTTTGATATGTCTGATATTGGTCAAAAATAATTGGTCAACTTTGCCTCATAGCTTTTTTAATCAAGGACCCAACCAGGCTGATGGGATATTCCCAATCTCATAGAAAAGGGAAAGGAGAGAGAAACCAGAAGATTCTCATTCAAACAATGATAACTCTTGCTAGAAGTGAAGAACATCACCTCCGTTTATATTTCTTTGGCCAAAGAATGTTACAGACGCATTACTAAGTGTGATGTCAGTGTAACAAAGATGCATAATCTTCCTAGAGGAAAAGAAGCATAGGAAGGGCCAGTGATTATTTTGAAGAATAATACATTCTACCTCATTCTTCTCTGACCCTAAAACAACAAAAGATGAAGTTGCCTACCAGGTGGTTTGCATGTCTACGGTAAAGATCATATTTCATTCATCTTTCTTTTGCCATTTCATATGTAGTACTTATTGTTAAATTGAAATGATTTCAAACAGACAAAAATATAAGAAATTGTATAGGAATAACTAAGAGGTCTTTATTAGACTATACATGTAGACAGCAGAGAGAAGAAAAAAATCAGAGTGTTCAGTGTTTTAAATCTTGGAGATTATTCATCCTTGCTTGTATTTTCTTTAAAGCAGAGGATGAATCAAAGGTCCATGTGTGGGGTACCTGGGTGACTCAGGCATTGGGCGTCTGCCTTCGGCTCAGGTCATGGTCCCAGTATCCTGGGATCAAGCCCCACATCGGGCTCCCTGCTCTGCGGAAAGCCTGCTTCTCCCTCTCCCACTCCCCTGCTTGTGTTCCCTCTCTAGCTGTCTCTCTCTCGGTCAAATAAATAAATAAAATCTTAAAAAAAAAAAGTCCATGTGTACATAGTTTATGTACCAGTTGATCACCAGAACCAGTGTAAATAAAGGGGCCTGATCAAAGTGGCTACTGTGAGTAACATGGCTTAATTCCACTGGGATTTCTAGAGATATATACAGAATACCTCCAAGAATTTTCCAATCAAAAGGCCAGAAACTCCTTTCTCTTATCACACTAGACTACCTCTTTTTTGAGATATATACACATGTAGACACAGTGACTCCCACCATTCTTTTCAATGTAAAAGGAGCCTGAGAGCTATAAGCAAAGACAAGCCATGGTCACTTGAGGGATGCACCATGAA